AATGAGCATCTAATCTCAAATCCTAATCGGATCAATTGCCGAATCAATATTTACAACACCTTTTTTCAACCATCCATGCTGCTAAATCTTTTTACATCGTCTAACCAACAAGCGCATCTTGTTTGTTGCAACCTTTCAAAATTATCTACCTCAGAGCACTTTGAGCCTCACCGTAATTCTTACAAGGTTATCCAGAGCCTCCCACAAAAACCTTCTCTCTTCTTGAGTTACTAAGACAATGATCAAAAAGTCTAGTTGTTCCTTTACAGGTTTTGTTTTAATCCACATCTGAGTGGAACAACAATAAAAACAGAATGCCTGACACAGCTCAAGCAGCAGAATTTAGACTGAAAGCGTGAAGAGAAGTAGTAAACCAAGTTTACACTTCAAATCTAAAAGCTACGCGATTTCCGTAAAACAAAACCAGGCACACCTACCATCTCCTCCAGCCTTCCCTCTTACAATCCGCAGTTCCTTAAAACTACGGTTTCATATGATGGAAGATGCAACCTAAACTTTTTTTCAACTAGAAAGCAGTTTATGCAAATTTGTCAACTTCCGCCAACCAAGTACTTAATTGATGTCTACAAAATGTACAACCGTCGGTTTTCTTGTATAACCCCTTCCGAGAGCTCGGTAATGTCTTTTGGGATGAGCTGCACAAGAGTCGTAAAAAATAAACACATTTTAAAGAGGTCGCAACAAATAAAGGATTAAACTGCAAATAATTTTGCTAGTACCTCTTGCTAGAGCTCCAACAAGTTATGAACTAATAATCCTATTACCCTAGTACTTTTTGTATTCTACCATTTAACAAAATTACTAAAAATTTATCTCTCGTGTTTTCTTCATTATTTGTATAACTCTAACGTTACAGTAAACTTCTGAGTACTTTCAATTTCCAGTGTTAAGCGAACATACTGAACAATAAATACACTTAAACTCGTAAAGAAGAACAATGTTTACTGATTTCCAAAACTAATAATATTTACTGAGCTTCTAGAACAAAGGATAAAAAAATCTCAATCTTTATTTCAAGTTAGCAGAACAATACTAAAATGCAAGAACTATAAAATCGTTGCTGAATTCGACCAGGTTTTGAGAAAACTGAACAATTTGGTAATCAAAACTGCTACACTATCTGCGGGAACTAAATTAGTTTTTGCAATTAATAATTTTTATGAAATCTGGTTTCAGTGAGGCGCCACCGACCAAAAACCCGTCCACGTCTGGCTTCTTTCCAAGTTCAGCTGCATTATCAGCCGTCACAGAACCTGAAATCAATAAGTAATGAGATGATAGCAGGAGAAGAATCAAAGCGCATTATTTCATGCTTCACTATTGCCAAATGTAAAAGAAGGAAAAACAGTTACCTCCATATAAAATCCTTGTAGTGTTTGAAACATCGGCAGAAACCTTCTGAGCCAAATATTCACGGATCCACTTATGCACTTCTTGTGCCTAAAAACTATCATTTCTAAAGTCCGTCAATGAAAAAACTAATTATAGTTTTTTACTGATAAACAAAAACTCATGTGTCGCTACGGTTTAGCCGTCGATTATACAATAAGAACTGCATATATAATCGAAAAGCAAATTAATACCTGATCAGGAGTTGCAGTCTTTCCTGTGCCAATAGCCCAAACTGGTTCATACGCAATGACTATTTTAGACCAGTCAGCTTTCTTAGCGATAAGCGCTTCAATCTGACGGTAATTGACCTGAAAAAAATTTGTAATACTAGAAGGTAAAGAACAAGCTAACTGTTATATATGCGGTCTCTATTGCTATTCAAGTACAATAAACGGAAGAATAAAAGACTAAAAAAATACCCCAATAACGCTAAAATAGACTGAACTTATACTTCTACAACAAAAATTAAATAGAAAATTAAAGTAAAGGCAGCCCAAACCTCTTTTGTTTTACCAGCCTCTCTTTCATCCAGTTTTTCTCCGCAGCAAAAGATAACGTTTAAACCCTCTTCAATTGCGTGAATCACTTTTTCAGCAACCAAGAGATCTGACTCGCCAAATATGTGACGCCTTTCTGAATGTCCTAAGATTACCCAGTGAAGACCAAGGTCCTTGATCATTGCTGGCGAGATCTCTCCAGTAAATGCACCT